TAAATCAAAAGGTAAAATGGTAATATAGTCTTGTTTGGTTTAATTGTTAAAGAACATTTGAGAGCTAGTTGATATCCTATATTTGATAGTTACAGTTATTATTTCTTCAACATTTTTGACTGCGTTTTCTTTTGCCTCATCACTAGTTTTGCAGAACTGACGTTTGAAGAGCAAAAGCTAAGCACCACGAACCCCTTTTTTAGAAAAAAAAAAAAAAAAGTGCCATACACCCAACATCAAACACCAATTTCCTAATATGAACTCAGAAAAATTAGACACCACAAGAATTCTGTTCCATAACAAAAGTGGACATAAAATTAAAGTTCACTTACAACGAAGCATAAAACATAAGTCAAACAAAGACTCATCTGGATCTACTCAAGCATAACAAGGTGACCTTAGAAGTTGCTGTAGTCGAAGTAGCAACAAAGACAAACATAAAACAAAGCCTCATCTAGACCTACTCAATCTTCTCTTTCCAACAGAAGAGCGCTTTTATTTTGCTTGCCAAGGATGTTTTCTCCTTGAAAATTGGTGATCTGTAAGTCAAAACATAAATTTCAACCAGAAAAGGAAACTGCAACCACGCAAACAAGCTGATTGGAATGCCTGCAAGCAACACAGATGGAATGATAATCCACGATCGGTTTTCTATCATGAGAAAGATAGCCGAGCAAAATGCTACCATCATTGCTGCAAGAGATATAAACAATGTAGAAAGCCCACCCATCAACTTATTAGGAATAGATTTGTTGAAATCTTCCATGTTGTAACGTGCCGTGTGAAATCCCAAAAATATTAATATTGAGGCCGCTGCAGCAAAAAGAGAGATTGCATCGGATATTATGTATACAATAAATGCTGGTTTGTCTTTGAACATTGGAGAGCCCTCATTCTGATTGTTACCCCCAGGAAGGGTGAAAGCTGCTGCGACCATTATGGTGATGATGAGAGCGCCAACAACTATATATGAATTTGCTAATCCTTTCATCCAATCCTCTGCTTCTTTAAGCAAACCCTTGTGCTCTCTAGCAAAAACTTGGTAAGCAGTTTCACCATTATTGTTTTTAGCATCTTTATGATACTGTCCAACATGTCTTTCAACCTCCTGCATTTTTAAAATTAATAATTTAAATGTGAAATCCTATATTCATACACATACATGTATAAAATAAAGCAGCAGACACAAAGAGGTGCTTTGACTGAGGAGTAGCAAAGTCCTGAATAGTTTGTGCGCCATATGGGTGCCCTTGCTCAGTTTATTTTTCTTCCATTTCATTCATAAGTTAATTGATATCTACTAATTGGTTTGTTACCCAAATTGTTGATTATATTAAGAAGTTAATTTCTTATGAATGATTTGAATGCTTTCTCTCGGTAGTACTGATGATGATCCATTCCAAGATGAACTTAGTTTTGTGTGTCAATTGGCTTAGAATTGAATATGATCACATGATTGATACACTATTTTAATTTTTTTTTTAAAATAAAACTCATTTTTAAATTATTTTTTCAAAAATCAGTTTTGTAGTTTGGCTTCCATTACACCCAAAACAATAAATATTGACAAGGGGGAACCAACCCACATTCAGAGATATATTCCTCTTTGAACGGTTATAAGTTTTTATTTTTTATTTTTTTTAATAACTAAATCTGTAGCCAAGTCAATTATATTTAATGGCAGGATTTAATGATTGTTATGAGTCTCAGAGTTCTTTATTCAAATTTGGAAAATCAAAAAGGTTAAATGGATTTTTTGTAGTCAAAAGTCTTAAATTGTTAGAAAGAATTGAGCAAAAATGTAAGAAAGAATGCTGCAGTAGATTGGATGAGGTTCTAAGTGAATTTAGATTCTGAAGATGGGAAGGAATGTTGTGTGAGGCTATGTTTTTGGCTTCTAGTTCATCTCAATGAAAAGGTTACCAATGTTGATTCTTTCAGCATATTACATTTTTTATATCTGGTGAAGATTTCGTTTAAGAATTATGTGAAACTTAAACCTTACTCGTATATAAGCAACTTAATCCTTTTTCTCTCTTACATACGCATATATATGAGATTAGTATTATTAGCCGAAATTTCAAAAAAAATATAAAAAAAAATATTTTAAAATTATGTCATTTTAATAAAATACCATATAAAAGACTAAAACACTTTTATTCTTACTCTAAAAATAACTTATTTAGTTTTTCTAACGAGAGTTTGTTAAAACAACATAATTTTATAATATTTTCTCTCTAAAATTTTCACAAATCCAGCTCATAAATATTCATCTCTTTATATGTATAATGGTGTTTAGCAGTCCATCCTTCATGGACTGCAAAACAGTTAACTATTAATGGTGGGGTGGACCCCAATATCACGAGGCATGCATGTATATTAATATTTGGATTAGTTGAGTATTTTTCACCAATTCATTGATTATACAAAATTTAATATTATTAAAAATATATATTAAAAAATGCAAGTTTCTTAATCAATTGATTGCAAATGTTAACTTGAAAATTGATATGTATAATTTATTTTGATAGAATATTAAATCTAATATTAATTTTTAAAAATATTTATTAAAAAATAATATTTTTAAAGTTAGAACTCCAATTTTCTTACAAGTTTGGATTATATGCACTATTATATATATATATATATGAAAAAGTGCATATTGGTATTGGCTCCCAAAAAATAATTAGAGTTTCAACCTTAAATTACGTCATTTTATTTAATTAAAAATCAATTCAAAATTTAAAAAATTATCTTATTAAATGTTGATATATTAAAATATATAATAGATTTCCAAATTTATATATCAATATTTAATAGAATGCAGTTTCAGTTTCCAAGAATTCCAATTATTTTTAGAAATCAAAAGTAATACACATTAACTTCATATATATATGAGAGAGAAGTGCTTGTCAACCTACAACTAAAAGATAGATAGAATTAGGATTATCTAAAATTTTTATATACGTCACTTACATAAAATCTTAATTATTTATTTCTTTCTATTAATAGTTGAAATTTATTATAATTTTTTAGATAAAAAACAATTATCTTTAAAAGAAAAAAAAAAACTTAATTTTCATTAGGTACCTTGAACCATTGTATCTCTCTTTGCATTTGTAGAGCAGCACCAGAAATGCGAGAAAGTTGAAGATTAGGAGCCAATTGACCTGCAATATGTAACACGTTGTTTTCATTTGAATCCACTAAAGTGATAAATAACTGGCCGAGAGGGAATGTATGGATAAGGCGAGCAATTTTCTCCTCGCGAAACGCAATAGCATCCATGAGAAAGTTTTTCCTCTTAATCACAAGCGACCTCACAAGCACCAGATCATAAGGTGCAATAAGAGAGTCTGTATTGGCTTTGATAATTTCATAAAAAAAATGATAATTGCCATTCTCAATTGCTCTGGTGAGTGCTTTGCCTAGGGCCTCCGCGTCCTCAAGTTTCTTTATTTCTAATTCTGAGAGGCGATGACAGATCGCACGTAGACTCTCACTGGCAAAGACATGCATCAACTTGAGAGCATGTATTTCCTCTATTCCTATATTAAGAATTAAGATAAAGTATAAGAAAAAGACTAAAATAGAACCGAAAGATATATCAAAAACTTAACCGATAGTGTTCATAAAAAAAGAAAAAGAAAAAGAAAACTTAGATTGTGTTATACCTAAAAATGGAAGAAGGGTTGAAGCCAATGTCCATAGTTGACCTAACATAAAATAAAATAATTGATTAAAATGAAGGAAGAAATTCAACATTTCATTACTTTCAAAAATTTCTAAATCAGAGCAAATACATTGTGAAAAATCCGATTCATTATTAACAAATTAATACCATATTCCTTATTAGCATAGGGGTGTCTATTTTCTATAGATGACTGGAGTTGCATTCCTTTATGTTGTGCAAGGACAGTCGTTTCGTTTAAGGTAGAAAGAAAGCATGTAGAACCAGGGACGGAGCCCGGGGGGCCCTGGACTTTTGGAAAAAAGTTAAATAGGTCCTATACTTTTTAAAAAAATTCATATAAACCATTCTTAAAAAATGCAAAATGGTGTGTTTTAATTTTTGTTCTTTTATATGTCTTATAATAAATCACTAACCACTTGATAAGTAAAATAGATTTATGAAAATATTTTTATTTATTTGACATGTTTGTCATTATATTATATTATATATATATAGGGTTAATGATCAATTTAATCAAGCAACAAAATAAAATTTACTTAAAAATAGTATTATTAATTTTTTAAAACATTTTGTTTTACTAATTGGATCATATTGAGTAATATTTTGTAATAGAAGTTATGTTTTGAATTAAAATTTAAATACAAAAAAATTTTAACTAGTTTTTTTTTGCATTTAAGATTCTTAGAATTTTAATTTTTGTACATTTAAATCTTAATCTTATTTACAAATCAAAAAATTAATTTTTAGTGTATACAATTTAAATAGCAGCTTGCCCCCTCTAAAATTATATTCTGGCTCTACCCTGTGTGGGATGTAAATAGATAGTTTTGTTTAAGCTTGACGTAACTACAATATGCAAGGGCATCATGAATACCCCATGCACCCTAAATTAAAAAAAAAATTATTTGGCCAATAAAAAAAAATACCATATTCAATTGCATCCAATTAGACACTTCTAAAATTTTATCCTCTTGACAAAAAAAATAATACACATATACTCAAATCTTTCCTCTCTCTCTATATATATATATGTATGGAGAGAGTAGAACGTACAAAAAAAAAAAAAACCATATTCAATTGCATCCAATTAGACGCATCTAGAATTTTATCCTCTTGACAAAAAAAAATAATGCACATACTCAAATCTTTCCTCTATATATATATATATGCATGGAGAGAGTACAACGTACCTGGTAATGGTATCTTTTCTCTTCCTTGCTGAGTAATAATAACAGCATAAAAGTCGCTTGCTGTGGTTAC